TCAGACATGTCACATGTTGTATGACCATCTGACATGTCACATGTTGTATGACCATCAGACATGTCGCATGTTGTATGACCATCAGATATGTCGCATGTTGTATGACCATCAGACATGTCGCATGTTGTATGACCATCAGACATGTCACATGTTGTATGACCATCAGACATGTCGCATGTTGTATAACCATCTGACATGTCACATGTTGTATGACCATCAGACATGTCACATGTTGTATGACCATCAGACATGTTACATGTTGTATGACCATCAGACATGTCACATGTTGTATGACCATCAGACATGTCACATGTTGTATGACCATCAGAGATGTCACATGTTGTATGACCATCAGACATGTTGCATGACCATCAGACATGTCACATGTTTTTGTCAAATAAACCTGATAGTCGAGACAGGGCTTGAGGCATAGAAACAGTACCACAATCTTCCTGCACCACTGAAAATACTTATTAATGTGAAGGGCATTGGGACGCAGTGAAAATAGCATTAAAATAATATATTACATATCAGAAAAGCTATATAATTGACATCATATTATAATATATGTATACTAACATATATGTGCAAAAAATAAAAGTATATTTCCTTAATAATTACAAGCATACTTAATTGTGAAACAATAACAGAAAGCTTGTAGTAAGTGAACAACAGGGATTAAGCCTCATAAAATAAGTATAACAATAAAAAAATGTTACATATATTATACATCACTTGTAACACTCTGTTATCCTATAAAGGTATTTCACAGACCCAGTTTCTTGAGAGAAAAATACTAAATTAAATTTTCTTTTAATGTTTTCACCTCTTGATTATTTTGGTTACTAAAAAACAGAGTAAATTTGAGAAACATACTAACATAACAATTTCATATAAAAATTCATAATTGACATGGAAACATTAGGATAATTGGCTAGTGCTCACGTCACAGAATGTATGAAGTTGTACAGGCTATCAATTAACCAATCAAATAAGAGAGATTTTCCACATTGGCTCATTTGAAGTAGTTAATTTCAAACTAGAATATTCATAATATTCATTAATGAGTGACAATAGGCTGTGGAGGCTGCCTGTCAACAAGAGCCTTGAAACACACCCCCTCATGTTGGTATAACCATGGTTAATGTTTATTTATTTAACTTTCTCTTTCAAAAATGTTTTTAAAAAATCAATACATGTCTCACCTAATTGAAACAGAAGTCAAGGATTCAGATAAAACACATACTTGTGCCCTAAGGGATAAAATGACAAAACTGGCAAGAATATCATATACTGGGTTACACAGAATGATAAAAAAGGACAAATTCACAAAACACACCTTTACTTTGCATATTATATCTTGAAAGTGTCTGGACTTCTGTGACTGAACATAAATAATTGTAAAATAGATGAATATATGAATACAAAAGCAAGGGGGGGGGGGAAGAAAAAAAAGAAAGTTAATATTTTGGTCTATCTCTATCTAGTATCAGTAATGTCGTTTATAACAAAAATATAATAAACATACATGCAACTATAAAAAAAAAACCATTTAAAATACAATACACATTCTATAGTTGTTGATTTTTTAGCATTTATACAAT